GCAGAATTGCTCTTTCCCTTTGGGTAAAAAGCTCTGCCAGGGTGTCCTCAGTATTTTTTCCTTTCGATGATCATGTACTGGACTTTCTGTCTGGCTGAAAGTTACCCATAGGAGACCCTCTCTCTTCCCAAGAGGCTGTTTCATCTCTCCACCCAGAGATGGGAGACCTTAGAGCCCCTTCCAATGCCTAAAGGGGCTCCAAGAGACCTGGAGAGGGACTTTGGACAAGGGCCTGGAGGGACAGGACAAGGGAGAATCCCTTCAAACCGACAGAGGGCAGGGTTAGATGGGATATTAGAAAGAAATTGTTCCCTGTGAGGTTGGGAGGCCCTGGCACAGGTTGCCCAGAGAAGCTGTGGTTGCCCCATCCCTGGAAGTGTCCAAGGCCAGGTTGGACGGGGCTTGGAGCAACCTGGGCTGGTGGAAGGTGTCCCTGTCCATGGCAGGGGGTGGAACGAGGTGAGCCTTAAGGTCCTTTCCAACCCAAACCATTCTGGGACTCTGTGATTTCCTTGTAAAGGTCTAGCAGGCACATCTCATGCATTCCCAGACCAGAGGCTGGGGTTGTGCTGTGCAGGCTGTGGAGTCTCCAGTGCAGTGGCAGAGCCTGTCAGTCCCTTTGCAGCTGCACGTGCCACGTGCCCACACTGCCAGGTCAGAGCCATCTGTCACAGTGGGTGTCAGTGCTTGCAGCACTCCCTGTGCTCTGCTGAGCCTTTGCTGTGTCTGAAAGGGATTCTGCAGTCCTTTCTCCTTATACCTTATTCCATTACTGAATAAAGTTCAAAACTCTCGGAGAATTAAAAAAACCCACAAAACCACACAGTGGGGAAGCAGCAGGGCCAGGAGGCTGAGGGGACTCTGTGTCGTGCTGTCACTTACCTGCAGTGGGTCAGCACCCCTGCCCCTCACCTCACATCCCATGGCACCCCAGCCCCTTGACTCTTGGCCCCACGGCTCCACAGCCCATCACCCCCGGTCCCCATGGTACTCCAGCTCCTTACCCTGTGTCCCTACAGCACTCCAGCTTCTCACCCACAGCACCCCAACTTCTCACCCACAGCACCTCAGCCCATCACCCCATGTTCCCAGAGCACGCCAGCCCCTCATGCCACACCCCCATTGCACCCCAGCCCCTCACCTTACAGCCCCATGGCAACCCAGCACCTCATCCCACAGCCCCATTGCACCCCAGTCCCTCACCCCACAGCCCCATTGCACCTCAGTCCCTCACCCTATTGCCCTATGGCACCCCAGCTCCTCACCCTATTGCCTTGTGAAGCCTCAGCCCCTTACCCCGCAACCCCATGGCAACCCAGCCCCTCATGCCACAGCCCCGTTGCATTCCAGACCCTCACCCTACAGCCCCACAGTGCCCCAGCCCCTCATCCCTATTGCCCCATGGCACCCCAGCCCTTCATCCTACAGCCCCATGGCACCCCAGAGCCTCACCCTGCAACTCCATGGCAACCCAGCCCATCATCCCACAACCCCATTGCACCCCAATCCCTCACCCCACGGCCCCATGGCACTCCAGACTCTCACCCTACATCTCCACAGCAGCCCAGCCCCTCACCCCGTGTCCCCACAGCTCCCCAGCCCTGCCACCCCTTAACCTATTTCCCTTTACAAAGAGTCTTTACTCAAATACAAGGAAACTGAAGCCCCTGTGTGCTTGTGGCTTTTTCTTTTTTTGCTCTGAATGGACCCGGAATATCCATCAGCTCGTCCCTTTAAGGCATTTCTGTTCCATCTCCACACAACAAGGTTCTCAGAGCAGCACACAGGGACCCGCCTGTGTCACCCCCCCGTTCCCAAGAGCAGGATTTTGTGCTCAGCACTCCCCGGGCAGCGTTTAAAACCTTGAGCTGTCAGTGTTTGCACAAGAAGAGCAATTAGTGAGTGGCTCTGAACAATGGTTAATTAATGTAGGAACAATGATATCTCGCAGGCTGCTGGATCGTCTCCTGCCCCCACCAGATGTGAGGTACAATTGGTCACTGACTTGTAACAAATCTCGGTGCAAAAAGTCACATTTTGTGTGGTTTGGAGGCAGGCTGACATTCAGCTGTGTCCAGGACCTGCACTTCCCCGGAAATCTGGGAAGGCTGTGGATGTCCTTGGCTGCAGTTGCCCTTACAAGTGCAATTTTAACACTTTGTTAAAGGTTAAGGGTGGCTCTGTATAAGGATTCTGTATTGGCTCCAATGTTATCAGTTAAATTGTGCTAGAAAGTTGGGAGTGTCCCATACCATTCATTCCTCATTCTAGGAACTAAGATTTCCATGTGGCATGTGTCTGGGAAATGAAGTGTCCAGGTTGTTACATACTCCTTTGTAATCCTTGTATGTGCTTTTGCTGAACCTTTAAGATCTTTGATTTACATGGAAAAAATTACCATAATAGACAGTGGAAAAGACAGAGAATTCCTGCTGGTCCCTCTGATATTGCTCTTTTACTCCTTATTAATATTTCAGAATAATGAAGCCTTGTCAAGGCTTTTTAATTCTTCCAGTGGGGAAAAAACCCTGGATGTTTCTGCATGTGTGGGTTTCATCCCACTGTATTTGATTTGCAGCCCGGAAAGGCAACTGTATCCTGGGCTGCACCAGAAGGATTGTGGCCAGCAGGTTGAAGGAGGTGATTCTGCTCCTCTGCTCTGCTCAGGTGAGACCCCACCTCGAGTGCTGTGGCCAGGTCTGGTGCCCCCAAAATAAGAAGGAAGTGGAACTGTTGGAGGGAGTCCAGAGGAGGCCACGAAGTTGATAAGAAGCCTGGAGCACCTCTCCTATGGAGACAGGCTGGG